CTACTGCAACAGAACGGCGGTTCGTCGGCGTTCTTATCCACGGCCACGGGAACCGACCTCTCCGGGCTATATATAGCCCTCCCGATCATGCCTAAACTCGTCAGGAGCCTCGTTCGAGCAGTAGGAAGCCCCCTCTCCTCCCCAGTTGGCCAGAAGCCCTTCCCTTCCCCATCTCCGGCAGGTTCGGCCGCCGCCACGATCCGGTAAAATCCGGCCAGGACCGAGGCCCCCTAACCTCTCCCGTGCTTCCATCCTCCTCCCCTCGACCGTGCGGAGCCGCCCAGCCTCTCAGCTTCGATCGGGAGCCACCGTAGCCCAAACCCCCAAATCCTCCCGAAGCCACCTCCGCCGCGGAGCTCGCCGCCGGCGACTCCCTTCGTCCCCGCCAGCCTGTCGACCACAGGGAGGACCGCCCTGGACTGGTGGATCCATCCCTGCCGTCGGAACCTAGTGGGGAGCCGCCGTTCGCCGGCGTTTATCGCCGGAGCCCCGCCTCTGCTCGGACAGAGGAGGAAGAACGCGGGCGACTGGTCAAACCTGACCAGTGGGCCCCATGGACCCACTGTCAGTGACCCCGAGCCGGCCCGCGCTGTTTTAAGTGGAGGCGTAAACACAGAAGTACGTCTCCTTCGTATTTTTTTATTATCGGACCGTTTTCTTTTTCAGTTTTATTTAAAAACAGAATTTTGACTAAACTTTGACTGCCTATAACTTTTTAAATATAAGTCCAAATGATTTGATTCTTTTTCTGTTGTTTCTCAAATTTGGTCTAGTTTATTTTCATATTTATTTGAAAATTTTCCAAACAATTTTTTGTACTATTTCGAAACTATGTGTTAATTTAAATTTTCATAAAATAGGATTTTGAAGAGGAAGACAACTCTCAAAAGTGCACCCCCACTTGCATACTCTTGAAGGCAAGCATTCTGAACCCTGGCATAATATTTTTGTGTGTTGTTTGATACGATTACAACACCACCTTGACATGGAGCATTCGTTATTTTATGTGATGATACGATCATACGCATGAGTGCATAATGAAGATTTCTTTGGTGTTGGAAATGGATATGCTTGTGATAGTAATCATCCTCGTATGCCTTTCATGCCTACCGGAAGGAAGCCGGGAAAGTCTCTGTCTTGGGTAGACACGAGCTTGTCTCTAGTTCCTCGTCGAGACGATTGTGTCCGGTATGGCATGATGAGGTATGATGAGTGGTGATTCTGTCTGTTGGTTGAAATATATTTGTTATGCTAATCATGCAGGGAATACTTAAACCTCCTGAGTCGACCGTAGATCGAGTCTTGTTCCAATAACCCCAATACTTGTTTCGTACTACCACTTGTCCCTGCCGCAAGTAGGGTACAGTTCAGTAAGTTGTCAACCCCTTTCTTGGCACACACCGTACAGAGAGGCCATGGTGGAAGATACCGGCTGCATCTGGTAGGCATGCCACTTGGTCCGGGGGCATGGGTGTTTCCGGTTGGGACCGAGAGGGGGGCACCCCTTAGTAGCGCGCGGTATAAATTTGATCCCATGCTAATCGAGGTTGTAGCCTCCCCACTTAGAGTTTTGCTTGACAGGTGTCGTGGGTGATTCCAGACACCGGTAAGTTAAGCTGGTGTGTGCGGATCAGGTGTGTTTTCAATTAAAAGACCGTAAATGGAATTAGTCCCGATGGACTAAAGGAATCCGTTACTTGTGGGTAAAGAGTACACCCTCTGCAGAGATTAAACCTATTCGAATAGCCGTGTCCATGGGAAAGGACTACAGTCTGGGATGGGTCAAGTGTCGGTCTTAGTGTCGGTCTTCGGAGGAAAAATTGCTAAACCAGAACATGGATCATGACTTGTGACTCATGATGGTTATGATTATTGTTATTATGGACTAACCATTTACATTATTTGAATTATTGAGTATCCCTGGGACGGTTCTACCTCCTGGATATTCACTGTGATTATTTTCTTATAAGCCCTTTATGTGGTGTTGCAAAGACGCCCGACTGTGGCATGCTTGTTATTTTTATAAGCCCTTTATGTGGCGTCGCACAGACGCCCGACTGTGGCATGCTTGTTATTTTTATAAGCCCTTTATGTGGTGTCGCTCAGACGCCCGACTATGGCATGCTTGTTTTTTCTTTTATTTATAAGCCCTTTATGTGGTGTCGCTCAGACGCCCGACTATGGCATGCTTGTTTTTTCGTTTATTTATAAGCCCTTTATGTGGTGTCGGTCAGACGCCCGACTGTGGCATGCTTGTTATTTCTATTATTTATAAGCCCTTTATGTGGTGTCGCTCAGACGCCCAACTGAGGCATGATTTAAATTATTATCATTTCGAGGCGTCGCTTCAGACACCCGATCGGTGCATTCTATTTCTACTCCATTATTGCATATTCATGTTGTATATAAATAACCCTGCTTGCGTGCATCATGGATTGTTATTTCGTGACTGGCGTTGTGAACATAGACTATTTCAGAGCATGATTATCATTTGTTATATTATACTTGTGTTCATAATGTTTGCGAGTACATTTAAAAGTACTCACTGGCTTGTCCCTGATTATTGTCTTGGCCAGATTTCATGCATAGAGAGGAGCATTGCGATGACAGCCCCGGAACCCACGCAATGGTGACAGCAGCCTCGCGAAGATAGGAGTTACCCTGGTCAGCTGTTCCCGTGGAGTTGCACTGAAAAATTAAGTATGGAATGGAGCTGCAGGGTGTCAATCCGGCGACCTATGTTTAAAGCACGAGGGTGCAAAGCCACTCCAGCCAATGACACTTCTGGACTAACTTGGATAACAAATTTATATGTATGACCAAGAGGAATGTACTAGAATAAAGGCGCTCGTGGAGCTGGAATGGGCTATGGCCAGTGCAGCCCATTTTGCACCTGTTTTTTTTTCTTGAAATTTGTATATAGCATGTAATTTTAATGTTAAGTCAAACTTTGCAAAGTTTGACCAAATTTATATTAAAAATATCAATATCTACAATATCAAATATATATACTATGAAACTACATTTCGTAATGAATCTAACAATGTTGATTTAGTATTATGAGTGTTGATACTTTTTTCTATAAGTTTGGTCAAAGTAGAAATACTTTGACTTCGGATAAAACTTATATGCAGACTAAAAAGGAGTGGAGGGAGTACAAACTAAATAATCTATTTTTAAAATTCTCCCTCTATTATTTAAAAAATAAATATACAATTAAAACAATATTGATGAATTATAATTTTTTTGTATAAATAACATTATTCATAATTTAGAATTTGAACTTTCGATTTGAATATTCAATTATGTACAATATTGAAATTATATAATTTTTAAATATAAGGCATGAGTAAAAATTATACACAAGTGAATAGTCAAAATATTTAGTACATGTTTTTATTCATCATTTTGTATATTGAAATATAAGCCATGAATGTATAACTTTTTATGAATTTATTACACATATTTATTTAATCAAGTTTTTAATATCCATATCCACTAAAAAAAATTATATAATACACAGGTATATTTTAAATGTTTTTTGAGAAATAACCATTGTCTGTATGTATAGTATTTTCAACACACAAATATTTGAACAAAACTTTTATACTTACTTTTTCTTAGGAAGCAAAGGGCTTTATTGGATTATAACAATGTTGTCAGGAATACAAATAATCTCTGGTAAAGAAACTAGCCAACATGGCGCCGTATGGCTAAAGAACTCCACTTTTATAAATATATATAAAAAATTGCCTGTGCAAAATGGACGAGGTATCTGCAGCTGTTTAAGCTCCGTATGCATTCTCGTTTACTGCACATGCAGTTTATCCGTAATGGGCATGTGAGCGTGATGGTTCTGGTGGCTAGATGGATTTCTGTTTTAATAAAGCTCGGTCGTGTGTTTGAGTCCGCGAGCTTCCATTTCATGTATTTATTTTTGCAGTACAGTGCTGCTTGTTTTTTCGGAAATTAAAAAATGGTAAGGAGTTTGTGCAAAAATGCGTCGCTATGGTTGGCTTTTCCTAGGAATAAAAAAATACATAGGTGTTTTGTGCAAAAATGCGTCGCTATGGTTGGCTTTTCCTAGGAATAAAAAAATACATAGGTTTTTTGTGCAAAACTGCTTCGGCCTAGAGCCCTCACTCACTGACATGTAGGTCCGTACACACGGATAGGTCTGCATATGTATTTTGTGATCGTATGTGCACGCTTGAGTCAAGTTAAGTGACTGTAATTCCATATTTTTAAAGTTCTAGCACAAAGCTGAATATCAAGCGCAAGACCTCTATTATTAACATAAACAGGAGTCGAGATAATGGTCAGATGCGCTCCACTGTTCAGCTCCACACAAGTGCATGTCGGTAGCGGTAGGAGTGCAAGCTGATTCATCACCAATGCAGTGGGTACCCATGGGCCATGGCACTGCCGACCTTGCATCTGTTTTCTTCCAAATAAAAAATAAAAATCCTAGCCCTTTCTCTTACCTATAGGTTGCCTCGTTGGCGCTACAAAGCGCAGATGCTGCGCGTCGCTTTCCCCAAAAGGCACCGCGGCGAATTACCCACAGCAGCGGAAAGAAGAAGGTGCCCCTCCTCCTCATCATCACCGGTGAAAGGTGAAAAAGAAGGAAAGGCGAAACGAATCGGAATGTCTCCCACCGCGGCACGGCGCAAGAAACCCCGATCCCCCTCACTCACTCACGCTCCCATCCCATGCATCATCGCCATGCCATGCCATGGATTCCTCCCGTGCGGCGTCTCCCAACCCAAGTTCCTAACCCCACCCACACCCATCAACCCCAATTCCTTCCTCTCCCACCAACGCAACCACATATTCTGTCGTCGCCGTTACCTAGACGGCTAGACGCAGGTAGAGACCGACCGGCCCCATATATACCATACGTGACTGGGCAACATCGTATCACTGGCTTAGCTAGCAATCTGCAGGTGAATTAATTGGGCACTAACATCACCAGCATCAAATCAAGTGAGGATTTCACAATGCGGCCGGCCGTGACGCACGACGACCTGTCCCTCCGCAAGGCGCAGGAGCGCCGGGCGGGGCGCTCCGGCAGCCAGATCGCCGTCGGCCTCGTCGCGCTCTCCGTCCTCTGCGGCCTCGTCAGCTTCATCCTCTGCCTCGCCGCCGAGGGCTCGCGCTCCGAGGTACGCACGCACGCACGTACGCACGCGGCCTTGCTAGCTCGACCGTTACTGTGACTGACTGACTGACTGACTGGTGCTGCCTGGGCTTCTTGGCTCGCCGCAGGTGTCCAACTACCTGATGACCGTGGCCGGGAGCGGGGCGCAGGTGGAGCTGTGCTTCTACAACGGCAGCGGCCGCTCGGCGCTCGCCTTCTCCATCGGCGCCTTCCTGCTGCTGGCCGTCGCCATGTTCGCCGTGCACGCCTACATGCTCCTCGCCGTCGCTTCGCCGGACTCCGCCGCCGCAGGCCTCGCCGTCGCTGAGGACCACCCCCGCGTGTCCTCCGCCACCAACACCCTCACCTGGCAAACCTGCTGCCTCTTCTTCGTCACATGGTACGGAAATTACTTTCAAGCGCCGCGAAACCATGCCATGCATTGGGCAAGAAGAATGGTGGTGTGGATTAATAATAAGAGCACACTCGTCGATGGGTGCAGGATTTGCTTCGGGCTCGCGGAGGTGCTGCTCATGATCGGGATCGGGGTAGAGTCCGGCCACGTCAGCGACTGGCGGAGGCCGCGGCAGGTGTGCCACCGGGTGCGCCCGGGGATGTTCGCGGCGGCGGGGATACTGGGGCTCATCACCGTCGTCGTCGGCTTCGTCGTCTACGTGACCGCAGTGCACACGCAGAAGCTGCTGCGGCAGCACGGCGGCGGCCACTACGCCCCGCACCCCGGCAGCGCCCCCTACCCCAGCGGTGCACCATACCCCGGCGTCCAGCAGCACCACCTGCAGCCGCCGGTGTCGTACCCACCACACCCGGCCCCGCACCCACACCCTCATCCGGCGCCGAATGCGCCGGAGATCACGGCCGCCGCTTGCCAGGTTCAGTCCAGCAACGCGTGGTGCATCACCAAGGACAAGGAGTACACCGATGTTTAAAAGCCTAAGCCAATGAATGGTAAGAAGTGCAGAGACAATGAGCCTGACGCAATGAATGGTCAAACAAGAGCAGAGACAATGCACGTAAAATTCCTTTTCGTTTTCGAACAATTGCTTGCTCATTTGTGATATAAGTAGCAATTGGATTATTATTCGCTGATATGTAAAACAATTTGTTTGTTCAAGGACAATATTCATGTTTTAACTTGTTAATTATGCTGTTCATTTGGCCTGCCAACTCTGTAATCACAATGCCCTTGTCAAGATTGGAACATGCAAATCAAAATTGATCAGAGAACAAAACTGAGCAACGACACAGGTATACTAATAATCAAGTGAAAGCTGACATTGACATGTTCGGACAAACTGCAACTCACTTCATTCCTGAAGAACCCCACAAACCAAACCATTCAAGAATTGTCCCCTAAATGCCTCGCAGAGTTGCAGAAGCTTAAACTCAGGCTATACAGTAGCAAAATAGTGCACACCATACTAAAGATGCAACCCCTACATAGTAGCCTGATAAAAAAGACCCAGACTCCTCAAGTTTGACGATTATACTCCTCTTACAAACGCTGCGATATTGATACCCAGGACCAGTTGCTTCCTTGAAAATCTTCAGCTTATTGGACCCACCACAACCATGACCTTACCCCACGCACCGACTACCAAATGGTGGCAACTGCAGCGACAAGGGAATTACCACCATTGGTCAAATCTGCAAAAGGAATTTCAAATTATATTATTGGTTGTCTCTTTGCTCAAAAGCTGATTCACGCTACCATATCGAGCGAATATGACAAGAGAAACAACAAATACGGTTATATGTTGAGAGTACCGACCTGTATTCAGCCCAGGTTCAGATCAGGGTTGCCACCTTGGCCAAAGTCAAAGGCAACACCTGTCGGAGCTTCCATAGTTGCCCCCATCGCATCATCTTCCTCCTCCATCCAGTAAGCCTCAAGAATCTTCACAGCCTTCTCATAGATTTCATTGTTATCATGGCTCTGCAGGTTCTCAATCTTTTCCAGGCCCTCTGCTTCATCAATCATCTGCGCATAGACATTGCCCTCCCCAGAAGCACCCAAATTCTTATCAGTTTCTCCAACTTTGAGAATGTTCTCAAGACCCTCCAAGCAAACAGTAACAATCCTTGGATCTGGGCAAAGCAGGAGGTCACACAGTGGCTTGATGCAGCCCTCGCTAACCAAATACCTGTTTACATAATACATACACATCAGCACGGGAAAACTCAAAATAGAAGTGCAAAATTTGCATGTAATCTGAATAACAGTGAATGAGAACATACTTGATTTGGTCGTGGGAACCACCGGAGGTAGCATTCGAGATGGCCCAAGCAGCCTCCTTCTTGATATCGAATTCAGCCGTTTGCAGCAGATGCACCAGAGGACCAATAATTCCAGCAGTAATCACAGCCTAAGAAGCCAGCATAGCAAGGTATGTGATCAATGATTAACCTTTAAGAACATATAGATTCAACAAACTTGATGACTAATACATGGATCCTTTAAACACTCTTATATTTCTCTACGGAGGGAGTAACTCATTATGTTGAGACTATTAGGTACATAGGCACCCCAACTGGGCAAACTAAGTCATAATGCTTACAAATATTCCAAAAGGAATAGAGCAGTTTTGAGTCAGCAACCAGTTTGTACAGAATAAGGACTGTCATTTACATCTAGTTGAACCAACATTGAAGGAAATCTTAGTTCTTAGGCGTGTTACTTTTGAGTCACCGGCATTAGTTGTTTGTACCACTAGCATATTAATAACATTAGTTACAATATTCCCCACTAGCCACAATGAACACAGCACAATCTAACATATATGCACCACACAATACATACAGTTATCAAACTAAAATCAATCAATGTCCTGAGTATTTAATACAAACAAAGGTAATCCCCTAGACATAACATGAGAAGAAACCATGTGAGAATATGCAGAAACTCGTACCTGTATCTGATCTTTGTTACCAGCAGTGATATTTGAAACAGTCCAGCAGGCCTCTTTCTTAATGCTTTTCTTGTGATTTTGTGTCAACAGACTTAGGAGACACCCAAGAGCTTGATGATCAATGATGCACTGTAGAATATAAGACAAGCTTAATAACACGGAAAAATGAACAAACGAAACTATACAATCTCTAACGAAGCTAGTAATCACAGATACGAATTGTAATTTGCCATGCAAGTGAACACATAATTATTTATTAGTGTGATCACAAAGCAGGTTGTGTAAAACTTGACGAGCAGTTTACTTGAATAGGGAAACAGACTAGGCAGGATTTCAGTCAACTGTTGGGGTAAGAGTGTAGTCAAGTGAGCAACCAAACTATCAGAAGAAACTGTACAGTAAACAAACAAAGATGAGTGATTCAAATTTCCAATATATTTTATAGACACTTGTCAAATCTGATGTACAATGGCAAACATGATGGTTATAATATATACATAACAATATCCTCTGTAAGAGTATAACTCAAAAGTCACAAAAATTTAATGGTGCAAAATGTAGTGAATCCAAAAGAACAAAACGAAAATGAATGAGTTACCTGAGTTTGCGAGTCATCTCCTGTGACAATATTTCCAACAGTTCGTAGTGCAGGTATAAGCACTGAAGGTGATGGATGGCTTCATGTTGTAAACAATATTGAAAGAACAGAAATGAGTGAATGAACATATATTAAGATAAAGAATCATATAGCAGAGAGTTGTAACGCAGGGTTGAAACATACAGGAGAAGCTCCACAAGCCGGGGACAGACACCAGCATCAATCACAGATTGGATCTTGTCATTGGTGCCATCAGAGAGATACGAAAGAGCCCAGCATGCATCAGTTAAAACTTCCTCATCATTGGAATGGATAAGTCGTGCAAGTGCTGGCAGAGCAGGCTTAGTCTATGGTAACAAATAAAGAATATGTCAAGTAACTGCTGTTGACTACTAATCACAGGAGAATATAGATGCAAAAGTGTATAAAACCTGATCAAATGCTGGCTGTGGCTTTCCTCTGCAGAAATTTGATAAAGTCCAGGTCGCATTCCTTAACATGGAGAGTTTAGCATGTTCATTCAACTGTGCTAGCAGAGGCATCAATGCGCCATTTGCGAGAACAAGGTCGCGGCACTTTGGGGAGTCACCAGCAACATTGCCCAATGCCCAGACAGCCTTGAAATTATTTACAAGAAGTATCAGAATTGATGACTCCCAACAACAAACATTCAACCAGGACAATAAAAACTAGTAGCCAAGCAAGTGATCAAATACCTGCTCACGAACATCATCACTGCCAGACGCAAGAAGCTTCACAAATATTGGAACTGCCCCATGATCAATGACAACCTTGGTATTCTCTGATGTGCCAGACGCAATGTTTGTGAGTGCCCACGCTGCTTCAAACTGCAAAAGTTATTCAAAAACACCAGGGAAAGAAGTTTAGTTGGTAAGGGTCCTGACTAGCAGATTACAAGAATAAGATTCCGTTGACACGCACCTGGAGTTGGGGGAAATCTTCTCTAGTAAGAAACTGCACAAATCGAGGAACAACGCCTGATTGGATAACTTCTTCGATTGGGGGGCTCCTTTCTGATTAATACAAGTTACAACCTCAGTTAATGTTGACTCACTGAGTGATATAAGAGATTAGTTTTACAAACAAACAAAAACTGAGAAGTTGGTACCTATAGAAAGCAACTTGCGGAATTGTGTAGTTGCCTCAAGCTGCAGGTTGTTATCCTCGGAATAAACCCCACCAACCATAGCAGGTAAGCTTTCAAGCTACAAAATCCAAACAGAAAACAAAAATGATCAGGTTAATAATGTATCGAAGCCATAAAAGGTCTGCAAACAGCACACTGCTCTAAACAAAGGTAGTTTTGGCAAAGATGAGAGCACCCAAATCAAATGAAAACTGAAGAACTGATTAAATTAACCACTGGAAGTGCAAGACGAACACCTAACTGTGTCTCCAATAACCATAACTAAAACAAAAGGACAGAGAGAGGTGACGAGTCATAAGGCTGGTGCGGGGAGGCGTGCCTCAGAAAGTCATGACCAACGAAGCATGTTAATCAAACCACCAACTAATCTGGCCTCTGAACGATCCCCACAAGTCAATAGTCACTAGTCAGTATCTGAAGAACTACCACGAGGCTACGACTTGATATTTCTTCAAGCCGCAACGCAAGCAACACACACCCACACACAAGTAGACATGCGTGCGTTCAGTCGCGCGGACGCAAACATCTCTTGAGCATAACGAAGCAGTTACTAAACCAATCTACTGCAGACGAAGCAAATACTTAACTCATCTGGAACCTCGTGTACAATTCATAGGATTCAGACTCCAGAAGCACTGAAACAGGAAGCTAGGAAGGGGAGTAGGGCAGAAGTGTGCAGTATCCTCACCTTCTTCTCGACGCCGGCGGCGGGGATAGGAGCCTGGGCCTGGAGCCCCTCGCGGCGCTTCTTGAGGAGGCTCTCCTCGCGGCGGTTCTTGCGGATCTCCACCATGTTGTCCTCGCGCCGCCGCCGCCCCTCATCGGCGTCCACCGTCACCTTGTAGCGGTTACGCCGCGCGTCGGCCCGCTCGCTCGGACGCACCGACATGGCTGGGTTGGTCGCTGTGGTCTCTCTCTCTCGCGCGCGCGGCGGTGGCGGCGGGGAGGCAAAAACCCTAGCTAGGCGACGGGGCTCTGGGGGAGGGGAGGGGAGGGGAGAAAAGAGGGAGAGGAGAAACCCTAGCGGCCGCTGCGAAAGGGAGTTAAAGCTCACACCACGATCGAGATATTCTCTCGTTTCCTCTCTCCCTTTTATTTCTTTTTTCGGTGCCCATTTTCTTGCCTTTTTAGAACTGCCCGTTTTCTTTATGGGCTGTGCATGTCCCTGATTTATTGGGCCCGTTACTGATCCACCATGTGAGGTGAGAGTGGTCTGGCCCAAATCTAAACATGGAAAACTCTCGGTATCCATAAATTTATTTGTCCGACTATGGATTGTTTGTACTCTATATGGAGTAGGTGTCATGCCACATGCACTTTTGATCAAGGAGATGATGGTAACCCGTTGGGCAATCTAGACAACGCGGCGGAAGGCATTCATGGAGGAATCCTGCAGAGCCCACATGCCAATCATTCATTTGTTAATGCTGGGCTCGAAACAATCCAGGTTTCGCCACGGGTTCACGTTCAACGGGGAAGCTCATCTGCTAGAAGACCTGATGTCGGGTATGTGTGGAAGACCCCGGGAGTAGGAGTGGTGAAGATACATGTCGATGGTGGCTTGTCTAGGATGGAAACGCGGGAGCTTCATCGCCAGTTTGTAAAGACCACGAGGTTAAGTTTATGGTTCCTCGGCAATGGTGTTCAGCAACATCCATGATCGGCAGCATTGGAAGTGTTAGCTTGCCGAGAAGCTTTAGCCCTTGCGCTTAATCCTCGCTAAGGCACATTGTTATCGCATGTGATTGTAAACCGGTAGTGGATGAGATAAAGCATGGATCAAAGGGAAGATACAACGCAATGATCAAGAAAGTTGAAGTAAGATCTGAGGAGTTCATTTCATGTGAATTTATCTTCGAATGGCGTACTGTAAATTTTGAGGCTCATAGTTTAGCAAATTTTTCATCTTCTTTAGCAGCGAGTCGCCATGTGTGGTTGGGCATATCCCATGACCCGTTTATTATTCATGTAAACCAAAGGTCGTCTTAAGGAAGTGTGATTTATTGCTAAAAAAATTATTTCTCTAAAACAACAAGTTGTCCTTAAAAAAATTATGATTCCCTTCACCTGGTTGATCTAGCGCGGTGCGTTCACCGCCTTTAGCGTAGGATGCATGTCCTGTGTGACTCTCCACGTCGCTCCATCCTTCTTCTCTGTGTTCTCATTGCTGCAGTTTGCCAGTCGTGAATCTGATCACTTTGGGGTTATTTTCTTTTTTTCTTCGCCTACGCACAACATAGCTTTGGTCTTATATGATTTTGCTAGTTGTCGACGTGTTTTTGCGTGTGTATGTGTTGGTGTTGGCTATGTGCATCTTAGTTATGCAGAAGTCGGGTGTGTGTTCATCATGTTTTTGTATCCTCTTGATACTTCATTTTGAGCAAATAAAATCCACCTTTTGTCGGGAAAAAACTGTATCTCTGTTGCAAACTTATGCAACACTACCCCTTGCAATATGCACACGACCCTCTGTCTTTGCAAAAAAAAAAGATTCTGCAACATGATCGTTGTTGCAAAATGACAACAGAGAAGAAAGGTCCAAAAAAGATTTGCAACGAGGCTCTTGTTGCAAAAGTCCAAGTGCAAAAAGGCTTTTGTTGCAGAGATCAAAAGAAAAGAAAATGTTCTGAGGCTTTTTGCAACAAGTTCGTTATTACATAGACAATTTGCTTGTTGCAATTAGGTTGGCTCGTGTGTGTGTG